ATTTGTATTTACTAATATTCTAGCCATCATGTTAGCTATTTCATTTTCTCAACACCTTTTCACTATTCACCACTTTCTACAGTGCCATATACTGCAGCACAACGAGTGAGCTAAACAGCACATGCATGAGCTGACAAGCATTGTACTATGGTGCATACATGTAGCTTTAGGAGAATTAAGAATTCGTAACAAATTTAGTGTTGCTCTGAATTCGCTCAAACTATATATGCAACCTCAAAACATTATGTATCAGAAAAGTTTTTTAAATTGAGAATTCCTTTTTAGCCATTTTTGGTGAAACTTGGTGTACTATTAGCCCATGGTTTTTCCAAACAATGGCCCCAAGTTTTTATTGAATTTTCTGATGCATATCAATGTAGATATGCTGTGTAGAAAGTATGAGGCTGTTCCAACTTCCATTTTTCAAGTTATGAACGTTTTTAAAATGACCAATTTTTGAAAAATACCCAAGGCTTAGCCCATTGTTTTTTCCAAAAATTACTCCGAAATCACCCTCAAATTTTTATTACATTTTTTGATACATATTGTTGTACTTATGCTGTGTAGACTGATTTCGACTCCAATTTTTTAAGTTATGAGAATTTTTTTAACTGGCCAATTTTTTGAAAATACCTAAATTGCATGTGGTTTTTTTAATGACTCAAAAAGCACCCCAAATTTTTATTACATTTTCTGATGCATATTGATAGCACTATGAGCTGTTGATGATATTGTGGTAGTATTGGACTGGTTGCAGTGGTTGGATTATTATTGATATCACTAGTTATTAGTATTATTATTCATATCTAGCTACTGCTTTGTCAAATATGACACAACAGGAGATGTAGAAGATGAAGAGTTCCCTGTTATCAATGGTGATGATGCTATTTATGAAACTAAGCAATCTGTATTCTGTAGTAACTGCTACAACTAATGTTTAATTCTGTCTGTGGTTTCCTGTATGTTTGTTATAAATAGCATTTTCTTTGTCCAGTTTTAGCCTGATTTTTTTATGCAGTAGTTGTTTACATACTAATATAGTTTGTGTGGTACATGCAACTGTAAATATTAGTAACACAGTTAATAAAATATGTACTTGATTTTACAATTGGTATACTTAATGCTGACTCACATACTCACATATACACTCCCACCTGAGGCATGATGCTGTCATTGATAATACATCATGTGATGCATTTATCTATATATGATGTAGATCTGTTGTTATTTATGATGCCGTTAACAGTAATAAGATCAGATTGAGAACAATTTTTATGTACTCAAAGCTAGACTAATTAATATTTCATAACAGTCGATGTTATTGTAACTACTTTCAATATTCTTGTTATTGGTGTTTTTCTAATTCTTTTGATGTTCTTTAATCAATCTGAGATTAATTTTGGCCTTTAGGGATTTATTTATTTGTTTGTTTATTTATTTATTATTTATTTATTAAAAGTTTTACGGAACAAAATAGAGAAAAAAGTAAAGAACAGAGGAGAGGAACATGCAGTCCTGAGGGGATACCAAGAAAAGATCTGGCACCCCAGGAAGAAAGAAATAAATAATTGTAGGAATAATAATCATTGATCTCTGAAGAGAAATGATAAATTAAGTGTTTTTGTGTTTGAGACTTGGGTTCTTTTATACTGTCATTGATATTTATTGTTCATTGTATGTTCAATTCATAGTTGATAATTTTGACACGTATTACATGTATCTGCACTGAATTATTTTGAGAATAATAGTGTGTATAATGTCTGTTTTATGTTCCCTTGTATACAAAAATGGAAGGAATGGGAAATAGTCAGTTAGCTCATTTTACAATGTTCTAATGTAGTAGTATATATTTTGATACAACACCAACAGAAACCATTTCTCTGTTAACATGCTAAAACTACCTGTGGTTGTCTTCTTGTTGAGTGTCAGTGAAGTTATTAGTCAATGTCCACTTTCTTCAGGTAAGCACTGGATGTGTATAGTAACAACTGTATAGGTTTTTATAGGTATCTACCTGAGGTATAATGGTAGCTGTTATCCTAATGGATCATATATTTGGGATAATAGTATCAGACAAACTCCTCTAGAGTGTGTATTACCTGGTGCTACTCTAAATGGTGGACAATGGATTGGTCCTAATGGAGCAGTTCCTTGTGATGGTGGAGACAATGCAAATGTTCAATGTACTACT